TAACCCATACACTTTTTTTTTTTTAAGTAACTTTCAGGATGGTGTACTCATTTTTGCAACACAAAATGTTATCACTTTGATAAGAAAATCTTATTTTGGTGAATAATTTTGCCATTCTTCTTTGGTAACTGATCAAGCAGGCTTGTTGGAACATTATATCGCCAAAGAACCCTAACATGTATTCTAAGTAAAGAGTAATTGCTGAATTTGTTAAATTTTAGAGGGGGTGTACTCATTAATGCTGTGCACTGTAGTTATCGTCCTTGGTATGAACAGGCCTTAAGATTCAAAGAAATTAATACTTTTCAGCAAGGATGCATTAAATTGATCAAATTGACTGTAAAGACATTGACAGTATAATGTTTCTAAATACTTCTTTTAAACTTTTTATTCATCCAAAAAAAATAAAAAATAAAAAATAAAAATCGGGAAAAAAAATGAAGCAGCACGTGTTTTCAACATTGACAATAATCATAAATGTTTCTTGAGCAGCAAATCAGCATATCAGAATGATTTCTGAAGGATCATGTGACACTGAAGACTGGAGGAATGATGCTGAAAATTCAGCTTTGCATCAGATAAATAAATTGCATTAAAATATATTCAAATAGAAAAGTCTTTTTAAATTGTAATTTCACAATATTACTCTTTTACTGTATTTCTGATCAAATAAATTCACAATGCAGTAATAAAATAAATGAAGTCAGTCTGGCAACACAAGACTATACATTTGTTAATTCTTACACTCACAAAATGCAGTTTACACTGCATTTGTCTTATTCAGCATTTTGTCAATAGTCATATAATTGCAGTAAACAATTTAGGATGGTGTTCATAGGTTAATATCCACACCAGCTCCTCCACGGCTACTGCAGGCCTGCTAACTCGCGCGTGATCCTCACAGGACAGTCCAGAGGAGAGTCAAACAGGCATGCTAATTAATTTGTTGCTCAGCATGCCTAATTGTTGCTTATTTTCCTCATTGGTGCACAGGCAATCAAATTTGAATAAGTGAAGAGATTAATGCGTGACAGGCTGATGGAATAATTACCGCCTATGAAGAATGATGCAGTTATCCAAACACTAACCAAATAAACATGCAGCATGAATTTCAAACCAACACATTCCAGTGGATGACTGACAAAGTGTAAATACTGTATTTTTATCAGGCAACACACAGGGGAACGCTTTGTTAAATTGATAGGGCAACTCTTATTAAAATAACTATTTTTCATTCTTTAGCCAGTCAGTCTTTCCCTCTTTAAATCCAAAGGATCCGAAAGTCATTAGCGAATAGTATATTTCATGTGATATAATAGCACAGCGTAAGGATCCCATGACCAAGGAAGTATATAATACAGCGCAGAGAAAAAAAACTTCTCGAGTTTGATCACTTTTGCATGCAGGGCCACTTAGTGTTATATAAGATGGTGCTATAATAAAACAAATGGAATGTGTCTCTCATTTTTTTGCTTTTTTTATTCAAAGGGTCATTTCTATGCATTCAAAGATTTTGGTTTAAAGGGATACTTCACCCAAAAATGAAAATTCTTTCACCAAACAGTTGACGGTAGCCATTGACTTCCATAATTGATGGTAGCCATTGACTTAGTAGGGAAAAAACACTGTTTGGTTATCAATATTCTTCAAAATATCTTCTTTTGTGCTCGACAGAAGAAAGAAGACTCACTAGAGGGTGAGTAAATGCTGACAGAATTTTTGGGTGAACTATCCCTTTAAAGTAGCAAGGAGATCGGTAAAATAATCCATGTGACATCAGGGGTTCAACCATAATTTTACAAAGCTACGAGAATACTTTGTGCGCAAAAGAAAAGAAAAAAAAGACTTTATTCAACAATTCGTCTCCTCCGCGTCACCGTAGCGCCATTTTGGAGAGTATCCACTGAACGCAAACAGCGTATGCTATTCTGTGTCAGCTGTGCCACGCGGATACGTTTTCTACATTGTTTGGGCTTTGATTTGAACGTAAAACAACAAATCCGTGTGGTGCAGCTAACACAGAACAACATACGCTGTTTGCGTTCAGTGGATACTCTCCAAAATGGCACTACGGTGACACGGAGGAGACGCATTGTTGAATAAAGTCGTTTTTTTTTCTTTTGCGCACAAAAAGTATTCTCGTAGCTTCGTAAAATTATGGTTGAACCACTGTAGCGCCATTTTGGAGAGTATCCACTGAACGCAAACAGCGTATGTTGTTCTGTGTTAGCTGTGCCACGCGGATACGTTTTCTACATTGTTTGTGCTTTGATTTGAACGTAAAACAACAAATCCGTGTGGTGCAGCTAACACAGAACTACATACGCTGTTTGCGTTCAGTGGATACTCTCCAAAATGGCACTACGGTGACACGGAGGAGACGCATTGTTGAATAAAGTCGTTTTTTTTTCTTTTGCGCACAAAAAGTATTCTCGTAGCTTCGTAAAATTATGGTTGAACCACTGATGTCACATGGATTATTTTACCGATCTCCTTGCTACGTTTCTGGACTTTGATCGTGTAAGGACCCTTGCTGTCTATGGGAGGGTCAGAGCCCTCAGAATGCATCAAAAATATCTTAATTTGTGTTCCGAAGATGAATGGAGGTCTTACGGGTTTGAAACGACATGAGGGTGACTAATTAATGAGAGAATTTTCATTTTTGGGTGAACTATCCCTTTAAGATCAGTGTTAAAATAAAAAAAATACAGAAAATCAGATGGGGGCAAATACTTTTTCACAGCACTGTATCTGGCGAAATCTATTTGTTAACATTTATATTCTTTATTATATGCAGTAAACTATTTGAAATGTGCCTTATTTTATTTACTACTGAAACAAAGTTTGGATTGGTCAAGTCAGGGATCTTAGCTTTGTTTATTCAGTTATGTCACTGCTGTGAACTACGATTTGCTACTTGCTAATGCTTGTCAGAAGCAGGTGGAACATTTCCATTCAATGCTACATTTTATTGAACAAAAATGTGAAAACACCACTGTGAACAAGAGTCATCATCGATATTTTTAGTCTCTGAAGAGAAATCAGCATATCTGCTATGATAGCATATAGACATCCTCAATTAGGGCTGGGTATCGTTCAAAATTTTCCATATCGATACCGATACCTTGACTTCGATACCGTTTCCTGAACGATACTTTTTTCTATACCAATTTTATGAAATCTATTTTAACAAGATTACATTATCTAAAAAAAAACTTTGGTTTTATTTTTCAGCTTGTTGATGTTTATACAGACTCAAAGCCACTGCACAAAGGAACAAAATGTAACAAACAAAAAAATCAGTGCAAATAGTTTTAATAAAGCGCAAATAGACTTCAGTTTACACATCTGTTAGCTAAATTTACACTAGTGCGTGTGGCAGAATCACCTAGCTCAGACAGAATCGTCATTTCTATTCATTTTCTACTGATTTACTGATAAGCATTAGCAGTTTCTAGCACTGTCTTTATACAGACTCAAAGCCACTGCACCAAGGAACAAAATGTAACAAACAAAAAATCAGTGCAAATAGTTTTAATAAAGCGCAAATAGACTTCAGTTTACACATCTGTTAGCTAAATTTACACTAGTGCATGTGGCAGAATCACCTAGCTCAGACAGAATCGTCATTTCTATTCATTTTCTACTGATTTACTGATAAGCATTAGCAGTTCTATATATATCTATCTATCTATATATATCTATCTATCTATATATCTATATCTATATATCTATCTATCTATATA